GGCAGAACTATCATTGAAAAGATCGATTCGATCTTCGATTTTACAGCTTTAAAGGATATCAGTAATGTTTTACGTGAGCACGCCGTGTGAATAAAATTAGAAATGAATTACGAGTTTTCAGTAGTGGATATATTATAATTAGTCAAGTTTGTATAAATAAAGATAAAGTACTAAGTAATGCGAAACACTCTGCCGCATAAGACGAGAGTATTTGAAGATGATAGAGTAAGGTGTTTATCTAGGGGTGTAAGTCAAATAACGTCAAGATTAAGAGCTTTATTCATGTATCCTGCTTTATTTCCTCTTTAAAACGTTGTTTTGTATTTATAAATTCGTGTGTATAGCGTAGTATAATATGTAACGTTTTACGAAGGAAGAAGAATAAGTTATGACGTAGCTTGTCCCATGGGAAAAGCGAAGCCCGAGCATGAATTCCCTAGGGCACACTATGCGCAAGGCGGCAGAAAATTAATGCAACCCCTTGGGAAATCGAACCTCTTTGCCCCGTGTGGCCTCGCCTGTTGGCAGCTCTATATCTACCTTTGCTATTTGGTCAAGTATACAACTTTATTTTTCATCCACACTTTGTCATATGAGACTTTCGCTTTAAACCCTGCATAGATTTTAAAATGTTTTTTTTTCAAATTATGAAAATTTACAGTAACTACCTACACTTTTGATGGTAAATCGATAGACGACCTGTAATCATCATCAAATGATATAAAGAAGTAGCTATAAAAAGAAATGAAAAGAAGAAATTCCCTTGAGAACTAATTAGGTATTGTGGTTGTCACGCAGGCTTTGACCGAGAGTCCAAATCTTAATGGAATTCGCCAATTTCCGCAAATCGTACTCCGCGTCGCTCACGTTAAGAGTTATGTTGTTTATCTTGCATAATTGTATCAGAACTACAATCATTCCAAATTTGTAGGAATCTATTTTCCTTTCACCTTAGCATTAAATAAGGGAAGCTCGCTTGGGAATTGACATCAAAAGTCTACACCAACTCTGTTTGCATATCAATGCTAGTGTCCCACGTGAAATTTCCGAATATTGTTAAGTTAAAGCGTGTATGTTATTTCTTACCTATAAGTCTGAGTTCGGATCGTAATAAAATAATTCCGCGTCTCCTAAATATTTGTATCGGCATGAAATAAAATAAAAAGAATAAAAAGGTAAAGCACAGGGACTTAGACAAAGCAAACTTTTCCCGGCCACCGTGCTCGAGTGGGAGGGGGAATGATCCCTTGGGTATAGTTCGATTGTAATGGCTCGCAGAGAATATTTCGTTTCGATATTATGTGTCTCTTGGAGGCTGACTACCTCTGCGCACCTGGCTTCAATGGGTGGTTACTTCACCATCTTACCCTGACAGGCTCGTGTCAGCAACTCTGTGAGGACATACTGAATACGTAATATGGGGTGAAACATCTGGGTCTTTAGACTGCTGAATAAGTTATAGTTTAAAAGAATAGTCGATTTTCCTGTTGATTATTTATTGCACAAAATAAACATTAATGCGACTTCTAAAACTTCCCGATTTCAATACGTAATTATCAATTCGCTAAAATTCTGTAGGTTTGGTATACTACGAGGGGCAACGTAAAAGTTATCAACCAATTTTACGTAACATTATACATAACCGCGCTATATAACCATAGTAGTTTTTATTAGACATATCACAAAGAAGGAGCAACGTTTATGTTAAACTTGGTTAAACTCCACAAAATTCAGTTTCCTTCTTGAGGGCTGCAATTTTTTCATCTCTTAGTTTCATGAGTGCTTGCCCTCGGCTCTTGTTGAAATGTACGGTTGTGCCGGATTTTTGTATGCGATATACAATGACAAAGGGTTATTCTGTCATTTTGGCTTTGTCCAAGTCTATCTTGAAGTTCACTGTTACGCAATAGCATTAAATTATTTATTGTATGGCAATAGTCACGAATGCAGTGGTATAGCTTAGGAATGCCGAAGTTCTGAAGTATCGATTCTATCCGAAAAAATCGATTACCTCCATGTATCCTTAGAGTTCCGTCTAGTTTCTTAGAAATCACACAATTCCCTCTTGTTTTCTCAAAATCTACTTTTATTTCTTCCAGAATACACTTCCTCAAAGCTTCCCACATTACGTTAAATATCCCCCTTTTCTAACGGAATAGATAACTTCATTTTCCAAACCTCCTCCATGTTTTGCTTAGAGCTCAAAATTTCCGCTTATTCCTACAAGTAACTTTTATCTCCCCAGAACTTAACTCTAATTTTTCAAAATTTTCCTGTACTGACTGAAATTTACACAAGGAAAGTGTCAAAATTACCTTACAATTTTCATGTTATGTTCCCAAAGTTTCTTTATTATTTTTCGAATTTCTACAGAACGCCATGATACTTTATCGAAATTTTCTTATAATCCTCGAGAACCCAACATTTCCCTTTATTCCTCTACATCCTAACGTATTTTATTGTCATTCTCTTCAGCAAGAATTTCTTCGACGTTTACTTATGCTTTCTAATCCTTTCATTTAGCAGTTTTTGCATTAACTTAAGTTTGTCCCAATTTGTAAACAAAATTAGTCGTCGTAGTTCATTAGAACCTGGTTTTTATTTTCTGAAAATTAATTACCAGTGTTTTCACAAATGTCCACCTAGTTTCTTAGCATTTTTCTTACTTCGTTAACGTTTCTCCTCATTTTGTCGTCCTCTAGAGTTCCATCGTATTCTCCCAAAATATCCCTATATGTTTCTTATAGCATCCTTTAATTCTTTAACCCAACACACACTACATGCCTGGCGATTACCTACTTTAGCGAGCTTTCTATGAGTGTTTGAATGTTTTCTTCACTGCGGCTTTATTTTTGTAGTACCAGCGGTCGCTCATCTTTCATTCCACAACTGACCCAGCTCTCATTGACGTGGTGTGACAGTGTTTAGAATCAAGTGTGACATGAGAGCCATGAACACCTTGGCCCATCGCTGGCACACTTCAGACTACGAAGGCGTCCCGGGGTGAAAGCGCTTCGTTGTGTTCCAAAGTGATTCGTGGTGGTGACCCTAAATAAATTAATAAAATGGAACTCCGGACTATAGAAAGTAGACTTCAATGATTCCCATTGCAATTCTATCCAATTGTAAGATTCCGATAATCTTGACCATTCTTTCGTTTCTAGAGGTTCTCACTGCGACTCCTCGTCTTCCAACGATTTTTGTCAACTTTCATCTTGAAAACCACTCACAAACGGCTGTTTTCTTTAAAGAATCGTCATCGTAAACGGTCTGTAACACTGAGAGAGTCTCAGAAGCAGATTTACCCTACACACGAATTCCATCCGTGTAAGAGTTTGATATATCACCACTTGGACCTCGTACAAGCCTGTAGGTTTTTTTATTTATAACAGAAACAATAGTGCCGAATAATTGTACATTTCTGCGCAAGTGCACATCTTTTTGTCACTTACTGATAAAATTTTAACTACAGATGCTTCTCATAAAGGTGAATCTGGTAAACATACTATATGAAATGGATTTGGAGTTTTTGACGAAATTAATACACATTTTGAGAAAATACAAAGGAATTTCAGGGAAATGTAGAGATAATGCAAATTCTTAATTACGTCGTGTAGTAATTGTGGAAACGAAAAACGTATTGGTGAAAGTAGAGAAAGTTTTGAAGGAATTATAATTATTAGCTTTGTATACGAACCTGACAAATTTGGCGCCATGTATAGAACTTTGGGTGAATTAGAAAACACTATGAGAAACATACAAGGATACTTGTAGGAGAATAGGATGGGATTTTAGTGGACCGTAAAATACAAAGGAAATGAGTAAGAGAAATTGCTACGGATATATGGGTAAATGTTTTAATATAATGGTTAGTCATTTTGAGAAAATGAAGAGCAGGCTGCAATAAAATTGGAGTTAATAAAACTAAATGAAAGCATCCTCGAAAAACTGAGAAAATTCTTACTAAGGAGATTATGGTAGGAAATACTAAGATCACATACGATCATGAAAGATCGTGGGATGTAGGTAAATTTTGGTTTATCGGGGAAATGAAATAGAATGACTTTTGAGAAAATTGTGAAAATAAGAATATAAGCGGAATTTTTGAGGGAATACGAAGGAATTTTGGGGATGAAAATCAATCTTTACATAAAATAATGTTACCCATTTCGTTAAAAAAGGAGAAAATTGAAAGTAAAGCTATGAGGAAGTAAATTTTGGGCGGACATACTAATAATTTATACCTAAATAATAGAATTATGTGTGACGCACAAAATTTTGAAATGGGTGAAAATTCTGAGGAGATAACAAAGAATCTGAATAACTAAAAAGCAAGTTTTAAGTGAATTCTGTTAGCTACTTCGTATAGCAATTGGGGTAGCTTATGCCAATGCAAAGTACAAAGATCACAATGGAGCGCCGTTTTACTTTTTATTCCAAAATTTTACAATGCTTTATTTTAAATAACAGTTAATTTTATTTCGCCATTTATTATGTTGGGTATTTTTATATGACATTAAGTATCTTTGTTTAAATAAACTTCATTAAAATGATGTATGCTGAATGTTGAATTAAAATGCTATACATGAATTAAAATGTTTGTTGGTTTCATTTATTGGCCCATCTTGCATTTCCTAATAAAAAATAAAATTCAATGTTCATGACGTAATAATATGCGATTTTGAGGGTAGTTAGCGTATTGTAGAATAATAAAGAGCCTATATGTTTGCATTATTTGTTCATTAATTGGCTAGCTCCATGGTACAAACGGCGCCTCATACTCTGTATTTATCACATAAACAAAATGTTGCCATAGCATATAATGTTACAAGAAGTTTAGCAGTGCGTTTGTGGGTGTATTAATCGAATGAAATTATAATTAAGGAATACTTTTATTGATCTCTTTGCTAGTCGCTTTAGCTACCTCATAAAGCGGATCTGATTGTCTTTACTTTAAATTCTACAAGCGTCAGTATGTTATAAACGGGTTTTAATTCCAGGAGATACTGAAGCGACAAAATCGACAGAAGTTGTAGAAGATCGCGCAGAAAATGCTAGCAATGGAAATTCAAATTCGGGAACAGTAAAAAATGGGCTTTCGTGTGAACGCCAATGTACGTATATCAAAAAGGAAGAATTTACAGACGATGAGGAGAAAGATAACGTGGACGATGGAAACAACAACGAAGACATTGACAGGATGGGAATGGATGATCAAGAAGACAGTTTAGGTGAGTGTTATTATGATAGTCGTTTGCGATTTCATTCAAGAGGATGAATAAGTTTAAAACCGCTACTTCAAATTGAGGTTTTCCAATCTGAACATCCAACTCGTCAATTAATTGTCTCTAGTACAGGGAAATTCTATCTTGGAACCTCCATTAGCGGTTGTGTGGTCAGACTTATGTTCCCTAAGGGTAAAACCTTTCAACCCTGCTCCCTCTAGACGATAACTAGTCCCAATATGCATATCACCCTATAAGTTTAAATTGATCTCTCCAAATGCCTGAAATGTAAAAGCTTCTAAATTTGTAAACCAATGTTTTCATTAAAGCGTGAAGTTTATTTCGGGATACTAAGAACAAGGTCTCGAAATAAATAATCGTTAGAAAGATTATTATAGATTTCTCCAAACTCGATTTGAATAGGAAAACGCCGTTTTGAAGTCATTTGAGACAGTAATCATCAGGCAAAATATCGCAGAGCATTAGAATAAATTTTAGTCAGAAGCGTCGTAGGTATAGTTAAAAATGTATGAATCCCAAAGTGTATAGAAGCAGTAGTGTGGCTAACCTGTCATTGTCACACTTATCATTCATGACTTTGAATGCATAGGGCTACTCAACAACAAGCAAAATGTGAAAGCTCGACTAAATGTCCATTCGAGCACTCCATTTCAACAATTCGGGCACTCCAAATTGAACTTTAATAAATGTCTAAGCTGAATTTGAAAGCGGTATAATTACATTTTTAAGTTTAATTAATGGGGAATACTTAAAAATCTACATATTATGCATCGTAGCATCAAATGCAAAGCACGTTAAAAGTTGTCCTTTCGCAAAAACAAGTAAGTTAAAGATCAGACGCGCGACTAGGAGAATAAAGAGTTGGGAAGTTCTAGCGCTTATATTTTCTCCATTCCTCGACCATTACCAATTATTCCACTTAACCGTTATTTGTGAAATGCACAATACAGTACACTAATTTTAAAATTCGTGGACAAGTTAAGTGTAAAATGTTGTTACGTTCAACATACGCCATTCTCGCTAGCTTTTACATGATTTAATTGAAACTTTGTGACATAGCACTTCAAACTAAAACACACGGCCACTCAAATCGATATTTAAATGCCTTTACTGAATATATCATTCTTATTTAACTTAATGATTAGTTTTTTCCTTTTTTGCATTTCGACAAATATAAACATTTTTATATACGTAATTTTAGAAGGTTATTTCAATCATAGTTGCTCTAACCTCCCCAATCTCCAAAAAGTTATACGAATGTTTTACAAGATTCCCTAGAGGCAACGTTCGCTAAAAGCACTGATTAGTAAACTCGGCAGCTCAAATTGACAATATTTGAATCCGATTAAACATACAGCAGCGCGACTCTGCAATTACTTTGTATTCTCTTTCAGTATATGAGTAAAACTAGAACTCGCTCCCTTTCGGGTATTAATAAATATCAAAGTAACTTTTCCGGCAAAATTTTTGCCACGACATGTGCCTTCTTGTGACATTAGGACCAGCTACGTACTAGGCGTTTTATGATGTATTGAATAAGTAATGGACATCTGGCGGAAATAAAGCTGCTGCTTAATCGCAATTCCAATACTCCGAATTTCTTTAGGATTCATATAATGTGGGGAAGATCTGTGTCGTAACTGATGTATCGTGATACTATCATAAATACCACTACCCACACTTTTACCGACACTGGTACTTCCTTACTTACAAGAAATATGAAAGAATAAAGAGCACGTGTTCACTTTGTACTCATGTTTTAAAACGCTGTGGCGATTTATAATAGTTGAAAGTAGCTATACATTCAAATACGCCTCATTCTCACTTTTCCATAAAGGTTGAAATCTGAAGTAAATAGCAAAAATGCATCTTATTCCATATTCCATATCAGCAATTAAACCCATTTACATAAAGCCGTTTTAGAAGGTGACTTTAGTATCTTTCAAATATATTTTTACGAGGGTACTTTTGCACCATTATTAGGTAATTAATGCAAGTATTTCGATAACTGTACGGTACTAAATTTATAATTGAAAAGTTTAGTGATTCATTATTGGAACTACCATAAAAAATTATATAGTGGAGTTTGCTTGTTGGAAACATTTCTTCTGTAAAAACAACATAAATTATATAGACTATTTGCTGTATCACGTTTTCCAGAGAAAAATCAATTTACACTTGCTAGTAAACTAGAGCCCAATCGAGCCATCGGTAAGCCAGAAGAATTTCTTATCGATGAGGTAATACCTAAATGCACTTTTAAAAAAATCAACTGTAACCATCGATCGAATAGAATTAATTAAATAGAATCTAGATGTTTCGGATTCGTCAAAAGGAAATAATGGTACTAAGTAAACAGTTAGCGAGAGTGTAAAGAGCATTTATTGCCAGTGCATTTTGTACTTAGTTTAAACTAAAATTTAGATTGCGGTAATTTTCTTAAAGGATCTAACTAGATTTTAAAGTGTTTGTTATAAATGTAAATTATCATTTTTAACAACCCTTGAATTTGGACTATCTATAAAATTTGAGCTTCATTTTACTGATTTGATTGTAAAGATTTCAAAAATAATTTACCAAATGCTTGGGGTCTTTTTTAATAATTATTTGTTACATAAATTGTAAATAAAAAATTCAATTAAAAGCATATACATTATACATTGCTTCGATTTTGGATGTTTTTAGAGGTATTTTCATCAGATACATTTGTAAAATATCCTGTACAAGGAGAGTGCATCTGGTAACCAATAAAAAGTTTCTATTTTGGTATGGCCAATGGAGGTTTTTTATTTTGCTAGCGAGTGACAAAGAGAATTCAGAAATTTGTACTTAAATTTCAGGAGAGACAGGATAAACATTTAAAATAAACAAGGTAATTGAAAAAGGTAAATCTTTGGTAGATATATTTGAGCTATAGTCGAAGGCAATTAATAATGAGTTTTATCCCCTTTTAGGACGTTGGAATTTTTGCTTCAACACAAGAAAAACAGATGTTTAAACGAATTAAGAGTCCAACCCTATGAGAAAGAAAATCTTGTTTCATTGGCGAACTATGTAAAGTCCAACGGATTAGTGTTATAATTCGTCGCAATTAAAAAGTTGTGTGATGTGAAAAGAAACGAACTGTCGTTGAAATAAACACAATATAATATTACTGTTTGTTTAATATTTTTTATTTCAATGATCTCAAGTGTCAACTCCCTTCAAATTGATAAATAATGTAACCTTAATTTAATTAAGTGATTTAGGTATTTACAATTAACAGTCCTTAAACAGATTTACATATTTATAACAGATACATTATTATTTATCACGCGCACATGTAAATTTATCACATGTGAGCGCGAACTTCATTACTAATCATTTCGGCATCGATGTGAGAAGTGCTATTAAACACGCTTCACATCGCAAACGGAAAGTTTCTAGAAAAAATCACGGAATATTCTAAAATAGTTTAGAAGGAAAAAATGTTTCGCATCCCCTTCCATTCCTTATCGCCGATGACTAATCTTTTATCGACTTGATGGCGTCTGCTGACGCCTCGATGTCTGGAATACTCGGTACAAAAATGTACACGCTTCCATTACGATCCATAAGATGTAAAGCGTTAAATACGCGATAGATAGTGGGTTATAAATTACGTTATTCTATCGTTCATGATGATCTCTCATTGTTTCGTTCCCATTACCAACCACCGAACTACGAGAAAAGCGTGCATGTGTTTCGGAAGTCTAGGGAAACTAGTATAAATAACAAATATAAGGTAAAAGTGGAAAAGTAGTAAAGTTTACAAGATTTATGTGGAATACGGAGGATAATTTGTGGGCTTCTGCACGTGTTGATTGTAGAACTCATGCGTGAACTGGAATGAGCGCACACAATCTCCAGATATGAGGTTTTCAATTATTCAGTGCCTAAGGTGAGACTCGGAAATGCTCTGAATACACAGAGGAGGTTCCATTGTAAAGGTTTGGCAAATGTTTCCTGTGATACGGCTATTGCCTAAAATTACTATGTAAAAAATTTCGCAGTATGTGCCAGCAATGCACTTATATAAAATAAACGACTCTGAACCTATTTTTTAATTTAAAAACTCTCTTTCTAATTCTTCATTATATTTAAATATCTAATGCGTCTTCATTTTGACGTACAGAACAACGTGATAAATTAGAAGACTATATTAATAGGTTTTGTGGGTTCGATGTACATCAGGATTTGTTCTTTAAACAATAATTCATGCTGCGTGATGTAATTGAATAAACATCTATAAACTGATAAACTTATATTTTGCTATATAATTAGGACTGTTAATCAGATATAATTATCGTAGCAATTTAGGTTCTCCTTGCCTAATCGAAATTGGTGGCAAAATGTTAAATTAATGACCATACAGATACATTTTGGGACACATTTCAAGCATGTATGATGTATGTTATTTGAAACTATCGTAATATAAAACAAAACCGTTTCTGACACATATGTGCAAGAAGGAAGAGCACTCTCTTAGAGAATTTCGCTAGGAATTTCGTCTTTTGGACATGTTCTATAAGTATAATTGACATTTTATTTATACGTTTACTGGAGTATGACCAAATATGATATGTGCCTGTGTGAAATGAGAGACCAGAGTGTATAATTTTTTTTGCGCAGATTATAGCGACCGTCTAAAATGTTAGTAAAAATTTGACTAAACAAATAATCCAGTCAATACCTTTGTTTTAGCAGGTGCAGAGCGAGGTTGAGAGTAATAACATTCTCGCTCAAACGTATACTGGATTTTGTTAAAAACCTTTACCTAAGTTGTTAAATTCTACCATTTTTGAAACAGTCTTCATACGATGACTAAGAAAAATCTAAAATACCTACCTCATTTTTTCCCTTTAGGGCATACGATGGCACTGATGGCAAATTTCACGCTTCTGAAATATTAACGAATTTCTAATAGAATACTCTGAACCGAAACCGGAAATGTATGTACAATCGGG